TTCTGCATTTAAAGTTACAATATGTGATGTTCTCACAACTGGTTTGCTGCGGGTTTAGGTTGAAGTTTCGGGAAGAGCATTTGCTTTTTTTAATGCAGTTGGCTTTGTTGATCGTTACCACACAGTGCCAAGAATACTAGCATCCAGTCGGATTAAGCAGTTTATTCTGAGGGGTATCTATTTATTCCTTATATAAACCTATGACTTTATTTCTATTATCTTTCCTATTCTACACAATGGGAAAGTTGAGACTTAAGAGTGGGCTAGAGCCCAGGGTTAGATTTAGTTAGGGCCAGAACTGGAATTAGAATTGGCCATGGTACTAATATGTGGCTGATTAGTCAAGTTTGTGGACTATTTTCTGTGTAAGTAAATTGTCAGTCTCATGAATGATGGTATTTCTGGAGGAACTTAACTAAGTGATGGGAGCAGGAGCAGCCATGGGGGGGGGGATCCAGAATGATGGGGAGACAGGAGGGACTCTAAGAGTACTCCTGAGCTCTGGTTTCCCCTCCCCTGAAGGTCTGTTTGAGGCAGTTCACAAGAGTCTAGGGCTTGTCTTAGTGTGAAGGACATCACGCTTTACAACGTGACATATTTTTAAAGAATTGTTTAAGCAGGGAGTGTGAAAGGCAGAAATGGGATAAAGTGAGGATTTCTTTTTACTTCCTGAGAAGAAATGGACTTTCTCTCCCTCTCTGTCTCTCTATTCCCCAACGTCTAACATGGTGACCGACACATGTGTGCTCAGAAATGCTAGCTGAACTGAATTGGTTTAAGGAGCATCAGATTTTCCCGTTAAGGAAGCAGACACAGAGAAAGAGGAAGCGGAGCACAAGTAACCTTTGGGAGAGCTGTTCATTTCCAGATCACCTGATGCTTTGCTCTATTGATCTCACTTAACGACAACCTAGAATTAAAGCAATCTTTCTTACATATTAAAGAGAAATGTTTCTAAACCAAACCCACTGCTGTCAAGTCTAGTCACTTTTGACTTGCTGAGATCCTGCAGGACACAATACAATTGCCCACAGGGTTTCCCAGGCTGTGAATATTTATGAGTGAGACCCCTACATTTTTCTCCTGCAAAGCAGTTCCTGGTTTTAAACCATCAATCTTTAGATTGGCCATCGAATGTTTAATCACTGTGCCACCAGTACTTTTTTACAAATGTACAATCATCTGAAAAAACGGCTTGTTAAAATGAAAATGGACTGTTGTCATGCAAATAATACGAAGAAGTTCTTTCCCTCATCTGTTTCAATGCCGCAGTGTACATTATTTATCCTCACTTTTCTTAAAGGTGCACAACAAACTGGACTGAGGTGGGGAGGAAATTTTGCAGCAATTAAATTTTTTTTTATTTTTTAAAGAGGAAAGTGAACTGAGGAGGTAGGGAGGAAAATGCAGCAATGAATGAATGAGTGAAAAATCTAAGTTCTCAGCAAACTTTGGTTAAAATCTCAATTTTGAAAAGAAGGAAAATGAAAGAAAAACAGAGGCATCCTCACAATCTCCACAAGAAAAAAGTGACTCTCTTCCTTTATTTCTTACTGGAGTCCAGGTCACTGGCCTTGTCTTTCCTTCCGTTCCTCCTTCCTTCTTTTTAAATGTTGCACAAATGTTATATAAACATATTGGATGAGAAAAACTTGGCCACCCCAGCCACTTTCCGCTTAACTGCAATGATAATTAAGTTCATCTATCAGTTCAGGTTTTTTTGTATACATTTACTTACTTGTTAGAGTGAGCCACACAAAACTGCTGATATTTGACAAGTTGTGATGACAATACGGCTGTACCATATGGTTGAGCTTAATATACTTAAAAGCACGGTTTCGTCATTATTTATTACATAAACTGAATCTGCTTTCCTGCTCCTCTCTTAATGATGTGTCTTGGCTTTACTTTTTCTCCCATGCCAGATCTGGTAGAACTAAACTAGTATATTTAACTGCTGTGACAAATAGTTAACAATTCACTATGGGTTATTTAACTATTTTCCCTGTTGACAAGCTGAGATTTTAAGATTCAAAACAATAATATTGTGAACTCTTGTACACATGTCATAATATACAGGGGCAATTATTTTGTAAGGTAATAGTCTAAAATTAGCTGTGTCAAATTGAAAGTTTTGACAGTCAGAAACATCTCTGGAAGAAAAGGCTTTTCGGATTTGCATCTGCCAACAATGCCAACAGTCCTGGTCTCCTCCACAATCAACCTCACTGAACATCGCTTGCTTTCTTTTCCCAAATTCATAAGCAAAACACAATCCCATTGTTTTTAGGTTTCTCATAGTACTGTGAAATCAAGCAGCACTTTTTTTAAAAATAGAAAATGTTTTTATTTTTCCCCCATTGTTGCACATTTTGCTTCCTCCCTCCCCACCCCTCCCTGCAATGCACCCCTTGTTCCAGATTGTTGTCATAAGTATAATGCCTAATCATATATCCCTCTTGGACAGTTCTTCCCCTCATCTGCTCTAATGCAGTGTTCACTATCTACCCACTCTTTCTCCATTGTCTCCATAATCTCACCTGTCTGTCCTTCCTCCCCCCCCCCTTTTCTTCTCAGACTTACAGTTATGTAGTTTATTAGGGAAGTCAACAGGTTAGAATTCAGGATGGCAACAGGAATACAATTTCTCAGTCAGGAGAGCAGCTGAAATGTGCTCTCAGGCCCTTCAGCTTCAGCCTTGTGGTTTTAGGCCAGTGTAACAAAGCTCTCTTAATCCTGACTTCCTCCGTTCACCCCTAGTCTTCCAGCAGGCTTGGGTTGGTCATGGTTCTGTAGGGTAGCTGTCTCAGGGCAACTCCACCTCATATTGGGTCTTCCGTTCTCTGCTGCATCTATTGTTGCTCTCCTCTAGGTCTGGCTGGCTCAAAAATATCTAGCCCTGAAAGGGCATGCCTTACCTTCTCTAATTCATCTTCTTTGCTACTGGTGGTATTCCTGATTTCTGCCATTGAATCTGCTCAATTTATATCTGGTGGAGTGACAAAATCAATCAGTCCTGCTGGATAGACTAACACTTTCTATTTGTTTATTCTCACCCAAACATTTGGCAAAGTTAAGGGCAATGGCCTAGGAAAGCCATTTTGAACAATAAGCCCACCACAGTGCACAAGGTATAGAGGACATGGAAGAAGCAGCTTGATATTTTTTTCCTTGCTTTTTAAAAAATTGATGTGCATATAATTATTCCCATACATTGTGTTTCATTCATCTCATGTCTGTCCTGCTTTATATAACAGTGGTGTTATGTAGTATTTGTCCTTTTGTGGCTGAGATATTTCACTCAGCATAATGTCCTCTAGGCTCCCCTATGCTTTGTAAGGTTGTACAAGTTTATTGTTTTTCAATGCTGTGTAATATTTCCTTGTCCGAGTATACTATAGTTTTTTTATCCATTCATTTGTTGATGGGCACTTGGGTTGCTTCCAACTCTTTGCTATCGTAATAACGCGAGTGTGCATACATCTGTCTGAGTCATGGCTCTGGCTTCTTTAGGGTAAATTCCCAGTGGTGGAGTTGCTGGGTTAAATGATATTTTTCTTTCCAACTTTTTGAGCCAGTTTGTTGTTTGCTGCCCTGTTGAACTTTGCTACTGTTGTTTTAGTGAGATGGCATCTCATAGTTGTTTTGATTTGCATTGCTCTGAGAGCTAGGGATTCTGAACATTTCTTCATGTGTTTATTTGCCATCTGAATGTCTTCTTGGTGACATGTCTATTCATATCCTGTGCCCATTTTGTGATTGGGTTGTTTACATTTTTCTTGTTGAGGTGCTAGAATATGTGAGAAATTTTAGATATGGCAAATATTTTTTCCCCAGTCTGTGGCTTTCCTTCTTACCCTGTTGGAGAAGTTTTTTGATGTACATAGGGATTTAATTCTTAGAAGGTCCCATTTATCCATTTTAATCAAGCAGCTCTTCTGTTTTATTTGCTATCTGATTTCTTCTGTGATTAACACCTCTGTATGAATATGATCTGGATATCTCAAATCACTTTAATATTAGGTTATTTGTCTTTTCATTAATGTGAAAGAGCTCTTATTTCTGATATTTAAATCTTGTCTATATATACACACATTCTAATTATTTTCTCCCTCCTTATTCTTATTATGTCTTTGCTAATTATTTATGGAGGTTCCTGCCCCCCCTCAAGAAGTCCTCTTCTTAATGGTGTCAGAGGGTGATATCTTAATGAGAAATTATTCTTTTATTAAACCAAGGATATAAAAATATCTTAAAATATGTTTTCCTTCTATTTACCTGGTTTTGATTTTAGGTTTGGATCTTAGATATTAAATTGACTTGCGTGTGGTATCGAACTAATCTTGGTTTTCTCTAAATGAAAGGCCAATTTTGCTTCAATCACTATTGACTAGTCTATATGTTTCCTCCTGATCTGAAATACCTGTTCCATATCAATTCCCTAATATATAAAGATCTGTTTGACAACTATATTTTAGTCTTTTGTCTCTCTATCTGACGTACATTTTTCTGTCTTACAAAGCAATCTTCCATGTTTGTACTTCAAGATTTTCTCTTGAATATTTTAATTTCTAGAAGAAGTGATCAAATTATATAAAGAAGCCTGCTGATATTTTCACTGGGGTTTATTTGGATGCACTTGACATCATTGTCACTCCCATGTTCTTTTGCAGCTACTCTGTCCTTTTTGCTTCTTGCAAAGGGCCTTTTAAAAAATTCTGTTTGCCAAAACAATGTATTCGAATTCTGTAAATAAACTAGTATTAAAAAAATTTAATTAAAAAAAAATTTAATTTCCTATATCCTTTGTGAGCTCTGATAGCCTAGTGGCAAGACGCGCACTGAAATAGCAATAGCAAGGTTTGAATTCACCAGCACAATTATCTTTGAAATGTTAATACTTTAAAGGAGCAGGGTATGTCTCATAATGGAAGATGCCACATCTCTCTGGTTGGTTTTTTTGTTGTTGTTGACTAAGGGTAGAAGCCCCTTGAAGGAAATTAGGAGCTGAAAGTACTGAAATGAACAAGAGGACATGAAACACAAGAGACAAACAAACACAATGAAGTAATTGGTTAATAGCATGAGTCTGTGTGATCAGCACTGAGGAAGATTTCAGGTGTGTGTGACTAGAAGACCAAGATTGAAAAAAATGGCTTTGATCCTTGAGTTTGGACCAGAAAGTCTCAGTAGAAGCCTTCTGAGGACAGTGTACACAATGCAGTCCCTATCTGGATGTTACAGGACCTGGAGAAAGCACCATGTTTCTTGTTTGTTCATAAAATCACCTAAAGTCTAGTTTATGCTGTTGTTTTATGTACCATCAAGTAGGAACTGACTCATCGCTGACCCTCCGTCAGGTTGTCAGACGCAGTTAATTGCACAGGAGGAGATTGTCCATCCTTCTCCTGTGGAGCAGCTGGTGGATTCAACCTGCATGCCTTCAGGATTGCAACCTAGCTTCTTGCCACTTGGCCAGAAGACCAATTATTTCCCAATTCCTTTATCTCCTTCTAAAGAGGATCTGAAAAATCATGATTTAATTATACATAAAAACAACTCTGGAGAGCAAACTATTCTGCACTCATTCAAAATGGTATTGCAGGATATATTGTAAACAGGGGAAAACCCCAATCTATATTCAGGTCGTCTCCAATTTATGATGGAGCTCCGTTCTCATGACTGTCTTAAATCCAGACTGACAGAGTGGGATTACTCAATCATGGCTGCTGATATGGACCTGACTAACAGCTGACCTTTAAGCGGATTTTCAGAGACTGTAAATCACATGAGAGAAGGTTGCCCTCCTTTCTCCAATAGAGCAGCTGGTGGATCCAAGCCACCTGTCTTTGGGTTGACAGCACAACTTCCTGTCTACGAGGCCTCAGAACTCTGTAAGTGGAATACTTCACAAAAGTTTTGATTATTATTGCCTTTTATTATCAATATCTTTAAAAATTAAATTTTTATTTGTCTCTGGGGGTTGGAAACATTATATTTTTAAACTGCACCTGATTACATCAGCTAATGATGTACTGTAACATTGTACATGGTACGTTTAACAATATTATTGTTGTTAAGTGCCACGAATTCAAGTATGACTCATAGTGACGCTATGAACAACAGATTTGAACCCTGTCCTATTGTATTGCCCCTGTTGAACTTGATCTCATTGCTGCAGTCACTGTGTCAATCCACCTTGTTGAAGATCTTCCTTTTTTAATCATTTATTAAAACTTTCAATTTGCTTACATTCATACGTCTCACATTAGATGTACTAATTATTAATGGATGCTTGCAGCTGTTTCTCCTCATTTTGAGTGTCTTTTCCTCCAAGGGCTCAACCTCTAATATGATGTCTAAGAGTGTTCCTCTGTTCTTCCTAGAGTTTTCACAATAAGATGTATAAAAATAACAATAATAAAACCTAACCAGAGAGTATTAAGTTCTGTTGATTTTAACTTGAATGCATCATAAGTTAGGGACTACTTATACATTTTTACTCCTTACTGGTGAATTTAATTCAAACCACAATGACACCACACGTACATATTTTAAAAGTTGTAATTAGGGTCGAACAAACAGATATGTCTTGGAGAGGGCGCAGCTGGAGTTCTCTTTGGAGGCAAGAATGATAAAAGTTTTGCCTCATACACTTTGGCCATATTGCCAGGAGGAGCGATTCCTTGAAGAGGGATGTGGTGCTTGGAAAGGTGGAGGGTCGGCAAAGTAGAGGAAGACCCTGAACCAGGTGTATTGACACTGTGACTGCCACAATGAACTCTTGTATGTCAGGAAATGTGAGTATGACACAGGATAGAACAAGGTTCAGATCTTTTGCTCATAGAGTCACTATGAGTCATGCTTAACTCAATGGCACCGAACAACAACAACAACAATACAGTTCTTTTCCTCATCATTAGGCTTTAGGAAATACTGCACAATCTTAGAACAATCGTTTTTAAAGGGTAGTGGTCTTTGTACTGGCAACATCAGCCTTACCTGGATCCTGCACCAAGTGTACTGAATCAGAAAAAGCACAGTGGTGCACCAATGCGTAGTTTAGCAAGTCCTGCTCTGGATTATTCTAAGATTCACGGAAGTTTGAGAACCACAGTGTTTAATCATGAGGGTTAAAGGACTCATTGATCCTTGGGTCTGTAAAGATAACGTGTGTGTTTGGCGCACCTGCACATGGCTCCTTTCCCCTGAGTAACTTCACATTCCTCAATGGGGCCACAGAGGCCTTGGGCCAGGTGGTCCAGGCCCTCCTGCTTCTCATATCCAGGTTGACAGCGACACTCGGCCTCCTCAGTCCACTCATTCATCACACACTCGGCAAATTTGCCGCAGGTCAGGAATTTGCAAGGATCCACTCGATCATCTGTAAGAGATGGGGCAGATTTTAAGAAACACACGGATGTATAAATAAGGGAGCTGGCAGAATTTGAAGGCAAGATTTAAAGCACGTTTATTATCAGCCCATTTTGGAGTGCATTGCATAGGCGTGATAACTGACTGTAATGACAAGAGAAGTACATATCTCTGTATCGTTGAAAATGAGATTGTAACACAGGGATGACATATTTAGCTCCAAATCATGTGCACAAACTAGGTGTGCTTTAGATTCATTTAGAGGTCTTGTTAAAACACAAATTGCGGAGCTTCAGCATCAGAATTTATGATTTAGGCTGAGATGGTGAATTTTTAACAAACTTCCTGATAAAAGAGATGCCACTGATAAGGAGAGCATGGATGGAGAACCACTACATAGGAAAGTACAAGGGTTTGGGTTTTGGTGACTTGTTGCTATTGTTTTCCAGGTAAACCTATTTTAGGATCTACGTATCTGTCAGGGAGCTCTGCTGAGTTAGCTGCAAGGAGCTGTGGTGCCAAGCTAAAGACATGGGGCTTGAATGCACAGGAGGAGATTGCCCATCCTTCTCCTATGGAGTAGCTGGTGGATTTGAACCATGTGCCTTTGGGATTGCACCACAGCTCCTTACTATTACGGTTGTTGTTATATGCCATCAAGTCAACTACGACTCAAAGCAACCCTACAAACAACCTTACCACTTGTTGTTGTTATGTGCTGTTGAGTCACTTGCGACTCTTAGTGACCCTATGTACAATAGTTCTGAACCCTTAACCCTTTGCTATTCTGAGCCAATCCCATAGCCTCTGACACATCTGCTCATAGTACCCCAGCCACTGTATCAACTCATCTCATCCAGGGTCGTCTTCTCCTGTGTTGTCCCTCCACCCTACCAAGCATGATATTCTTCTCCAAGGACTGAGTCCTCCTAGCAACATGCCCAAAGTATATGAGACAGAACTTCAAAATCCTTGCCTCCAAAGAGCAACTTGGTTTTATCTTCTCCAGGGCAGATGTGTTTGTTTTCTTGGCAGTCCATGGTATGTTCAATACTCTTCTCTAGCACCACAACTCAAAGGCATCTAGTAGTTGGTAATTCATACAGACCATTTTGAGAACCTACAAAAATTTCTTCATTAAAAAAATATCGTACTCAGTCTTCTACTGATCCCTGGGACTCAAATGTTACAGAGATTTTCCCTTTAGCTTACCCATTTCTTCTAGTAGGATGAAAATAGACCTCTTGTTTCTGTTCTGCTTTATTCTCAATTTTGTAGAGTTGGCTAAAACTCTTTGAGAAGGAGACTATTCTAAATCAAGAGACTTTCAAAAGATTTAGCTTGGATGACATCAGCTCAGTTGGCTTTTCCCTGTCTTTATAGACTGAGCACATTGAGCCCGAGGGCAGAGAAGGGCATAACCTTAGTCACTATGTACAGATGGCAGAACCGGATTAGATCTTTTGGTCCTCAGTCAACTATTTTTCCTTCCGTGGAAGGGTTTCCTTTGAATCACATCAGCCATTTATCTTTCAGTTTATCCTTTCAATTTATGTGTAGTTGTTATGTTCAAGAACTGAGACAGACAACTGCATATAAAATAGTTCTTTCTTCCAAGAGGCCTAGAAGAAGATAAGGTATGCACATACACAGATAATTTATGCAAGAAGCCCAACACTTTGTGTAGCATATGAGGGTAATGATAGAGGAGAAATCCTTGTGGAGGAGAATGCTTTAAATTCAGTAGGAAAAGTAGGCAACACAATGGTTAAAAAAAATGAATGAATAGGGAAACAGCGGTACATTCACACAATGGAGTATTATGCATCATTGAAAAACAACGATGATCTCAAGAAGCAATATACAACATGGATGAGCCTAGAAAATATTATGGTGAGTTAATGAATTCATCCACAAAGGACCAAGGGTAATATAAGACCACTGCTACAAAATCAAGAAGATTATAGGTCAGTGGGGGCCACGGGAGGCAGGGAGATCAAGAAGAGAATGGATAAATAAAGAACATGGCATTGAATTAGGCAAAGGGAAAATGATTCTGAAAAAGAAAGGGAGACAGGACATTATGAACAATAGAACTAACAGCCGGTACAGGACATGCATGAGGAAATGAAGGAGGAGAGAACGGGAGATAAATCTGCATACAGGAGGGAATGAAAAGCCAATTTGTTTATAAACTTCCATTCAAATAATAATTTAAAAAGTGCATTACATTCTCACAAGTAGTCATAGTGTTGTTAAACAGTGGTTTAAACACACAGCTGCTAATGGCAAATGTCAGCAGTTTGAACCCACCAACTGTTACACAGAAGAAAAATGTGACTGTCTATCTTCATAAAAATTACAGTCTTGGAAACTTTGCGGGGACAGTTCTGGTTGCTAGCGATCAAAATTCAGCTTGACAGCAATGCTTTGAGTTTGGTGCATGTATATTTGCAAAGACTAACAAATGCCTTCCAGATGAAGACAGAGGCTTGGAAAAGGCAATACTAGACCCTTTAATAAGAAATCGTTGTTAAGGTTGGCCTGGAAATGCAAGGGAAAGAACAGAAACTCATGAGGGAGAAGCAAGAGAACTAAAGCATCTAAGCAAGATTAGGCCAGGTTCTGGAGACCTTGAAGGCTACGCTAAAGAATTAGGCCAGGGCGGGGGTGGGGTGGGGGGTTGGGAGCAATGGAGAGTTTATAACACAGGAAAGGTGAATGCTCACACGTGTTCTTTAGACGATAATAGAATGAAGTTCCGCATTTAGCAGACTCTTTCTTACTGTAAAGTGGGAACACTTGCAGAATTCCAATTCAACAGGATTTAATAAGTTTTATGCTAAAAATGTTCAGTGGCTAAAAGAGGGTGTTGGTTTTTTTTTTTTTAAATGCTTGTGGATGTCATGTGCTGTCAAGTACAAGTCATAGTGACCCAACGGACAACAGATCTGAACTCTGTCCTATCCTGTGCCACCCTTCTCATCTCTAACATACTGCTGCAGTAACTTTGTCAATTCACCTAGTTGAGAGTCTTCCTCTCTTTCATTAATCTTCCACTTTTTGTAGCATAATACCCTTTTCTAAAAACATGCCCAAAGTATGTGAGATGAAGCTTTGTCATCTTGGCCTCTAAGACTCACTCTGGCTTGCATCTTCTCACTCCATTGGATAGTCAGGTTTTTTCCCCAACACCGTAACTCAAAGGCATCAATTTTTCTTCTGCCATTCTTATTTGTTGTCTAGTTAGGCGAAATAAACTTAACAGGCTCCTCTTTTCCCTGCTGTCTTTCTCCCTTTTCTCTTCTACCCATTCGCCTTTGCTTTTTACTTTAAAACACTTATGGTAATTATGGAGATAATGGGTGTTTTGAACCCGGAAAAGATAGAAGATAGTCTGTTACTTTGCCAAACTTACTGACCTTAGATTTTGTGTGTGCGTGTGTGTGTGTGTGTGTGTGTGTGTGTGTGTGTGTGTGTGTAGAGGTATGATTCATCCATTTTGTGGAATGAGTATTTTAGTGGAATCTCTGTTGATTTGGTTCCTCCCAGCGGTGGAAGAAGTTAATGAAAGGGACCAGCCAGATCATCCTAAGAGTTGGAGCAAGGCTGAAGCCCTGGTCTCTCAGCAAGGCAGATCTGCATACATTCTTTATGGGATGTTTGTTTTACTCTGCTCATTAAGGGTCCCTTACAGACTACCAGGTGTTGATAGCATAAATGACTTTTCCTTCTCTCTCAGTTCCTAAAGCTGACTGTGTTATGGGATCCATGTGGCTGCTTAGGAAATAAAGTTACTTTCATCTGTAAGCAACTTTACATGCAGGACCATGGTCTTAAAAACTGAACTGGGTGCTGGAAAGACTGGACTGCTACCTGCAGAAAGCAGGGTAATGATAGACATGGTCCAATGGTGATTAATTTTATGAAATGTAATGCATGGGAATGATTGTATGAAACACAGAGTGAATGAAGAATAGTGTAAAACACAATACATATGAACTTTGTAAACAAACCAATATAAAATAAAAATTAAAACAAAAACACCCTGAAGTCAGAAAGGAATAATCAGAGACTCCATTCCCCTCTGTGTGAAGAAATGAGGAAGCTGAGTGCATAGATTTGGCCCTCTGAAGACTAATAGAAGCTTATGATAAAAGCAAAAGAGTTGGGTTATCATAACTTGTGATGATATATGTTCTGTTTTACTGTCATTTATTTCATCCTGGAGGCACAGTCTAAGTGTAAATAAAGCTGTGTAGTATTGCTTTTCTCTAATCTAAGAGTAAGGCAGATTATCCGAGAGGCGGGGCTCTATGAGGAGAGGCGTGGCGTTAGGATTGGTGGACGATCTATCAACAATCTGCGTTATGCAGATGACACAACTTTGCTCCCTGAAACTGAGGAGGACCTCATGCACTTACTGCAGAGGGTCAAGGACTGCAGCCTTCAATATGGACTGAGGCTCAATGTCAAGAAGACAAAAATTCTCACCACTGGACCAATCGGTAGCATCAGGATGGATGGCGAAGAGATTAAGATTGTTCACAGCTTCAGTTTGCTCGGCTCCACATTCAACACTCTTGGCACCAGTAGCCAGGAAATCAAAAAACCTATTGCGATGGGAAAGTCTGCTGTTAGGGACCTCTCCAAAATACTCAAGAGCAACAGTGTCTCTCTGGAGACTAAGGTCCGCCTGATACAGGTCATGGTTTTTGCAATCACTTGTTATACATCAGAGAGTTGGACAATGACTAGGGAGAATAGAAGGAGAATTGACGCCTTTGAGCTGTGGTGCTGGAGAAGAGTATTGAATGTACCATGGACTGCCAAGAAAACAAACAGATTTGTCGTAGAGAGGATTAAACCAGGCTGCTCCTTGGAGGCAAGGATTCTGGGGCTTCGCCTGACATACTTTGGACATGTTGTAAGGAGGGACAGATCTTTAGAGAGGGACATCATGCTGGGTAGAGTAGAGGGAAAGCGCAGGAGGGGAAGACCCTCTATGAG